GCAGATCTATTCCCCTAATAAAGGCTTGTTGTGGCCTGGTCTGGTCTTGGTCTTCGGCCCTTTTACCTGACAGTCCCAATGTACATTCTCATTAAGAGTATATGAACGTGGGCCGGGGATTTAGCTCAGCAATGCCGTGCCTGCCTGGCACAGGCATGCACAACTACACATGGCTAGTCCCAATTAATTTTAGAGCCAAATATTATAAAATCTAACAATGACTCAGAATTATTTGTCCTATTTCAATAAGGAAAAAGAAGAGAAAAACAGAAAAAAGAAGCAGATGCTGGCATCTGCTGGTTACTTATATATTCAATTAACCATAGACTACTCCCCAAACCACAAACATAGCTTACCCAGGTTCTATGACTGGACTTTTGAGTTAATTTTTATATAATATTTATTTCCTTGCTAAGATTCCATTTCTACTCTAAACCCCAATTTATCTAGCTGGTTACGTGATAGCCCAACTTGTAGGCCTTTTTTCTCCTGAAGGCTGAAGCCCCTTCCCAATGATCACTATGACTTGAAACTCTGCCTCAAAATATCCAAAATCTAAAAACTACTAGATTACTGTCTAACGGTTCATTATTATCACTACCTAGAAATTTATCTTTTTGTGTTCTGTACTTTGGACGATGACCTAAATTTACTAAACTAATAGTCAACTCAATGAATAGTTACCACAAATAATAAATAAAACAAATATGATATATTGTTCACCGTTTTTTTTTTTGGTGCCGGGGATCGAACTCAGGTCCTTGCGCTTGCGCAGCAGGTGGCGAAACCACTGAGCTAAATCCCCGGCCCTGTTCACCTTTTTTTATCCTGGGCATCTATTCTCCTTCCACATTTCTTTTCCCCAACCAGCCATTCACAAGTTCTGACATACTTCATGGTACAATGCTGCCTGGCTTATGACTAGTAGCAGTAATAATGCCATAAAAAATAACCACAAGGAGCTGCAGATTTAGCTCAATGGTTCCACCACCTGCCTTGCAAGCGCAAGGTCCCAAGTTCAATCCCCAGTACCAAGAAAATAAAAAAATTTTTAAAAATAAACACAATTAGGGCTGGGGATTTATTTAGCTCAGTGGCCCCGTGCCTGCCTCGCAAGTGCAAGGTCCTGAGTTCAATCCCAGATACAAAAAAACAAACAAACAAAAAAACCCCCCACAATCACTGGAATTGTAATTTCTGTGAATGTCACATACATAAAATCATGAGAGAAAACAGTTTAATAAGATACCTTTTAATTATGTGGATAAAACATTCAAAAACATGATATCTATCTACCTATACACATCCTCTTGTTATTCCAGTATTTTATAGAATAAATCTTTTGTCTAATATTTAACTAGCTCACAAAATGTTTACCAGTTCTTTACTGCTTCTGTATTAAGCTGACTTATTTTTTTGGTTTTGTTTTTTTTTTGAGACAAGGTCTAACTTTGTAGTTCAGGCTGACCCTGAACTCACTAAGTAGCCCAGGCTATCCTCAAACTCACTGTGATCCTTCTGCCTCTGCTTCCCAAGTGCTAGGATTACAGGCCTGAGCTACCACACCCAGCTAATTCAGACATTTAATATCAAGTCATAACTACAGTATTCATGCTCAGAGTAAATTAATTACTTAAATTTTTCATTTTTTCAATCCATCATCTCCAAGTAATTTTTTAAATTAATTTTGCTTATAATCCAGAATACTCCCATGCTGAAAAAGAATTTTCAAATTAATAATGCCACACCAAATAGCCAGAAAAATAACTATATGCTGACCACAACATGTACTCAGCAAGATCAAAAACTTAGCTAAAGAAATACAGAACAAGTTTATCTTCAATTCCTTAAAATCTACAAAGTATATTCTACAGGAGTTAACTATTAAAAAGTGTTAAACTTCTACCATCCTGGACCAGGGCAAAATATTTTAAAAGGATATCATTAGGATAACTCAATG